AACACATAGACCGGAGCATCAATCATGTCTATCGTGGCTGTTGTTTAAGGTGCCTAGCTTATCAGGGCTTTTAGTAAGGTCAGATAAGGTTAAAAGGTTAAAAAAGGTATACTTTTGCTGAAATTAGCAGTAACGCAAGAAGAAGGTATTACAGCCGGCAGACTAGGTATAGGTGCAAAATATGTAATATACCAATTTATAACAATAAGACCTGTTAGTACTTCTATCACCGTATAATTTAGGTGGCGCAAGAGGTATTTTTTATTTAACTCATTTTAATTGGCTACGACCCCTTACAGTGACCCGGTTGCAGCTCCTTGAGCTCTTAGGAGATAGTATTTTAAACCTTAAATAAAATAGCTAAAAATCTATAAAAAATATTTTTCAAAATGGTATAGTTATTTATATAAAGAAGGATTTTTAAAAGATTTTTAATTATTTTAATTTATATAGAAAACCTTAAAATACAGTGTATTTTATAGTATAAATATACTTTAAGGTTTATAGCTATATAGAATTTTTTAAAAAATCTAAAGAAAATAAATAAAGCTTATTTTAAGACTTATATATCTATTAATAAAGTTTTAGTTATATTAAGCTTAATTTGGACTTTTTAGAATTATTTAAAAAGTTGTCTTGAAGGTGAAAAGTGGAACTAATTGGTATGCTTGTCTGATCGGCAAGCTTATCGTGTATGTTAGCTATATTATCTTTAATACTTAATAAGTTAATATCTAATTATAAATTAAATATAAGCTTTTTATATAATACTTCTACTTATAAAATAAAATACTTTAGAAATTTATAAAACTTATTTATTATAATCTAAAGAAATATACAAGAGACTATTTTATTATTACTACTTTAATAGAAAAGTATAAATAGTAGCTTTATATATATAATATTATACCTAAAGTCTTAAAGGCTTACTAACTTTATAAGTAAGTATTATAAACCTAAAACTATATATTTTACTTAGATTTAGTTTAGGGATTTAAATTATATTACTTATAGCTATTAGGGAATACTAATAGTAATATATTTATATATAGGCAGTACTAGCTCTAGAAGTAATATTTATTATATATAAATAAGTACTAAAAGCTTTAGATAGTATTATTAAGTAAGTTAGGACTTGTAATAATTTATAAAGAAGCTAAGAATGCTATTAAAGTATATTAGTAATATAGAGCTTAGCTATTTATTAATAAAAGTCTTAGTATATAATATAATATATAGCTAGAATAGGATTTTAAGGAATTTATTAAATATAACTTTAGCAAATTCTCTTAATACTCTTATAGATATCTTTTAATAAGGCATAACGCTAGGTTTATTAATATTACCTTAATACCTAGAGTTATTATAATTATTTTTATTTTTAAAGTTATTATTTTTAGAGTTATTATTATTATTATTATCTTTATTTAAATCTTAGTCTTTAATATTAACATTTTTACCTTTTTTATTTTCTTTACTTTTTATTATATAAGTTTTTTAATTATTATAAACTATAGCATTAGTAGTATTATTAATAAATAAGATACTAGATATAGTAAGGGAAAGGCTAGTAAGATTATCCTCCTGCCTCTTTATTACTAGCTAGGTCCCTTTAAAGATTTTAAAAAGGTATTAAATATTATAATTTTAGATATAATCTAGCTTATTATAAATTTCTAGTCTTACTTTGGCTTTTATTATATCTTATTATATATTACTTACTATTTAATATAGCTAGAAAATAAAGACTAAGAATTATTTCTAAGTCCTTTTATACCTTACCTTATTATTTTTCTCTGCTATAAAAGCAAAAGAGGACTCTTAATAGCTTTATAGCCTTAAGCTAAGTAGCTAGTAAAGGGTGTTATAGCTAGTACTATAAACCATATTCTTATAACGATTTATAATAGAATTAAATACTCTTATAATATATAATATCTTTTATATATCTTTTTAAGGGCTTATAAAGTTTAAAATATTATTTAAAGCACCTTATCCTAAGATATAATCTATAGTAAGGCAGTAGTAATTAGGCAGTCTTATTATTATCTATAGTATATCTTATTAAAAACCCTAGTAAATAGAAAACTATTATATCTTATTTAACTATAGATTTATAGAGGTAAAAGTCTCTTTATAAGCATTTTTACTAGTAATATAAGGCTAGCTTAAAGCATTTTAATATCTAGCTTTTTATTTTATAACTTATTATAAATAGGTAGACCTTTTAGATATAAGATCTTAAGGCACTACTTGTAGTTTTATAGGAGTTTATTTTGCCTTTAGTATGCTTATATTATATCTTTTAGTTTTAAAGTTAACTTAAAACTATTTACTGCCTTCTTAAGAAAGAAAGAAATATTAATATACTATCTCTTTAATTTATAGTATATTATTAATTAATAAAAGCTCTTTTATTAGCCTTCTTATACTCTTAGGATTAACCTAGTTATAAGATTTATAATAATATTTTTATATTGCCTGTAGCTAATAGATATTAAAGTTAATATATTATTAGTATTTTAGTATATTAAGTTTTAATAAGGCAAGATAAGAAATAGGCTTAGTTATTAGCAGTAAATACTACAATTAGGGTAGCTTAATTTAACTTTATAATATATTTAGTATTATTTTAATCTTTATAATTAGTTAGTATTAAGTTTATAAATTTATATTAATATATTTTTAAGAAAAATATATAGCTATTTTACTAGCTAAATATATATATTAATATAATTAGTATATAATAATTTAATATTCTAAAAGAAAAATAAAAGGATATATAGGGTTAAAATAGCCTAGCTTTATAAAAGGATTACTTATTATAACTTAATCTATTAAAAGGTTCTAATTCTTAAATATAGTCTATATAATATCTTAAAGTATAAAAGGTTAAAGTCTAAGTAAGAGCTTTATGCAGTACGTTCTGTATATAGTTAGAATTTAATATATAATCCTAGTCTAATTACAGACTAGAGTTAACCCCTAGCAGAACTTAAGACTACCCTAAAAGTCTACCCCTGGTTAAAAAATCAAGTCTATCTCTTGCAAAGTAGGGCAAAATAGATTAATTCTAGTAGAATTAATTTTAGTATAAAGGACTAGGCTTTATAGAGATTAATTAATTAATTGCTTTATCCTTTATTGGTTTAGGTGGGTCCGGTGTATAAAAATGGCAAGTTTTATAGCAGGCTTATAACTATCAAACATTACGTGTATTCGGTTCATTGATCCAGATTGGTATATTCATGTTGTGTTCTGTTAAAATCTACCCCTTAGAGGTTTTACCATTTCGGCTGTAATCTTAAAGTATCCCTACTTGCACATGAGACCCCAGCACCTGTTTAACAGAACCAACCTCGTTCAACTTACATGTGGCTAGCAATCTTATTAGTCGGCACGGAATGTGTGATGTTCCGTCTTCACGCCGTTCCCATCTTGGGTGGTAATATAACTTTAATCTTTTTAATATTGCTCTAACACTGCTCTCTCTAAAATTGCTACTATTGCTATATTATTATTATTAGGACCCGGATTAATACGTTAGGAACCTTAACCGTCACAAGACTGCACACGCCACTTCGTCACATGATAGGAGCCGCTAGTCCATTTCAGAATTCTTTGGGACATCACCCCCTCAACAGTTTTTACCAGGCCCATAAAATGTGCACGTGGATCTCAGCTGAAACCCCTCTGTTATATAAATAGCGGCATATTAGATCAAGCAGCCAATTCTCTCCGCACTCTTTATTACCACCTCTTTCTAGGTTTAAAAACTATCCAGATCCTTTACCACTCTTTGCCAAGGCCCAAGCATCTTCAGGTGCGCGTTGGAAAAAGAATCCGTGGGATCATACGGGTAGTATGGCGTCTTTTCCACACTCTGCATACCCCGATCGTACCTCGACACTACCAGAGCGAGCCCCAGCCGGCATTGGCTACAGCAACGAGAAGGAGGTTGTGCCAGGCCAGGCACCAGAGGTGGTTCCTGGGCATGACCTGGAGATTGCCCCGCCAGAGACATCCTTGCCGCAAGGATTGCCACACGGATCGTCGAAGAAGCGTAACAGGCTCATTGTCTTTGGCCTCCTCGGCCTGTTTGTTGTGGTTGCCATTGTTGTAGGTGCTGTCGTGGGCACCAAGTGAAAGACAATCTTTTCCAAGCATACCTCCCTCAACATTATCACCAACTTCGCCGTCGACATCGTCGCAAACGAGCAGCCCTATCGGGCAGCAAAGTCGAGGTTGAAAACGTTCATATCTCTATTTAGGGTTCCGTTTTTGACCGTAAAAAACGGTATTTGACGGTCAAATTCCTAAAGGGGGTTTTGGCAGTAATTTACGTCAAAGACTCTCCCTTTTAGGCTTAGTGTATAGCCGTATTAGGATTAGTGTATACATGGAATAGGTCTCAAAAGACGAGTTGTGCAACGGAGGGTGTGATCAGAAGAGAATGCATTGCGCTGCTTGATTCTATATAAGAGAGCGACGAAGGTCGGTCTCTTATACCTATGTTCAATCTTCCGATATCATAGGCAGCAGGCTGCTGCCTGATACTAGTCATGGCCGATCACTCTCACCATGAACTTGTTCACGGTGAGAGTGATCCTTGCCTCATTTCTATCCTCATTCCAACAACATCCGCATCCAGAAGAAGACAAGGACTGGGCAAAACCCCTGACCAACTACGCCCTGCGGCAAGCCACTTGCCAAGCGTTGGACCTGTCACTGATAAACATCCCAGACATCCACCGAGCAACAGGTTTCACCATCCGACCCCCGAAACAAGACGATTCGAGAAAAGATCCTCGCTAAGAACAAGAAATCAGCCGCTGCGTTCGAGCCACTAAGGCTGAGCTACGTACAAAATGGTTCAACTACTTCGTGCCGAACCGCCCATCCAAACTCACGAATATCCTGGGTGACGTTATCGACATCGAAACAGTAATCCAAGACGTGATACACAGCCTTTGGTTTTTTTTTGGTTTTTTTTTTTAAAAAAAAAAAAAAAAAAAAAAAAAAAAAAGGAAGGTCTTTTGCCACAGCAAGGTCATCTGTCGAGCCAGGGACTAAATGCCAGGGGCCCCAGGGGCTAGGGCTGATAGGATCCACGTGAAGAGATGGCCAGAGCTGACGTGAGCGTGTCCTCGTGACATCTTTCGTTTAGTCCCCTATTAAATTTGCCAACGATTCCCAAGCCTCCCATGGCCACTGTTCCACCGTCTCTTGTCCACATCGTTCGTGTTGGCGAACGTTGACAAACGTTGGCGAGGCACGTATCTTCCTTGACATCTTGAGTCATTGAAAATGGCCATACCTGCAGCCCCAATCAGAGCCTACACCATGAACCCTATCCAGAAGAAGGCCTCTACTCGCTTCGCTTGCACCGAGTGTGCGCGGCGGAAGGAGAAAGTAAGTAACGTCCCTTTCGATAACGGGTTTCACATCTGGTGGATAGTTCGCATCAAATTCTTCTATGTATTCGTCGAGTGGGATTGAGTCTCCGGCTGTGGTGACTAGTCGAAGTTCGGGATCCGGGTTTTGATAGCTTGTCATCTTGATTGCTCCCTTCCAACCAGTCCATGACCAGCTAGGGAAATCAAACTTTCTGGTACCAGGCTTGAGGTGGTACCAAGCATTGATCATACACCCGTTCCTTGGGTTAAGCGGGTTTCCCAGCTAGTGAACACATCCATGATTTCTATGTAGACGTTGAGTATCCCGAGAAAAGCATCAAGAGAATCTTTGTCGTACTTGAGGTCTCTCTTGCTAAACTCCATCAAATGCTTCCCAATATCGTTATCAATCAAGAACAGAGGCTCAGTATCCGGAAGAGTTGGCTTCTTCTTTTTGTTGCTGTAAATCATGCTATGCACAGCATTCATGTGGATGGAAAATGATTCCTGACAAGTCATGGTATTACACTGAAAAATGATTTGCTCGTTGGTAAAGAATATCCTTTTGTGCGATAAGACACCTTCTTGATAGGTCCAGCCCGAGAAGCCCATCGACTGGCCCGAATATTGTCTGCAGGAGGCGTACCGAGGTATATGAGATTTACGCCATTTACTTGGGCGTACCCCTGCGGTGGATCGGGGCGGCGAGGGGGAGTTACACCAGCCAAGCCATAGATGCAATTTGTCCCAACAGCATTTATAATTATAAAAGTATCTTAAGTTAGTATATATATTAAAACTTTCTAGCTTATATATTTTAAACTCTAATAGTCTTTTACTAACCTCTTCTTTATCCTTTATATAGTTAGGGTTAGGTAAGTTAATATATATTTATATTATTAATTACTAAAGTTATCTTTTTATATCCCCTTTTTGCTTTTTTAATTATTTCTTAAGTATATTAAATTCTTTTATAAAGTTTATTTATTTATATATTTTATATTAATAATACTTATAAAATAGCTATAATATTTTTATCTATCTTATATAAGTAAGAAAGATTTAAATATTATTTTAATTATTAAACTTTTCTTTCTTATATAATAAGTTCTTAATATTATATTTTCTTTATATCTTATACTTTTTATATATTATTAGTATTATATATAAATTTAATTTCTAGCTTTTTGTTTTTTTTCTTATAATTCTTATTTATTTTATATAGTTATTTTAATTATTATAATATTAGTTTACTTAAAAGTTTTAAGTTTATCCTTTTTCTAAGGTTTAGTTTTAGCAAATCCTAATACTTTATATTTTATAATATATCCTTTCTTAATATTTATTATAAGGGTTGTTTTATCTTATTAAGTAACCTTTTTAATAAGGATATTATTAATTATTTATAAAGTATTTAGCTATTTTTCTAGTTTAAGGATAATTACTTTTTTCTATTAAAGATTTCTAATATATATAACAGTTAGTTCTTAACTATAAATAAACTAAGCCGTGCTAGGTTTATTATTAGCAGATTATATAAGGCATAATGGTAAGCATTATTAAAGTATTATATCTCTTAATAATAGGTTTAATATATATTAGGCTTAATTAATATAAAGAAGTTTTATTAATAGCTAATAAGTTAGAATTTATAAAAGTATAAATAAATATATTTTATATACTTTTAGTAATTTATAATAGTAAGTTAGTACTTATATATAAGCTATAAGTCTTATTAAAACTTAATTATTTTATTTATAATTAATATAATACTATAAGTATTATTTAACTATTTAAATTATTTATTTAGTTTATTTATTAACTTATAGTTAAAATGCTATTATAAGTTAATAGTTTAATTTAAGTTATGCTATAAGTAATTACTAAAATATTATTAGAAATATAAATCTTTTATTAAAAAGAATTTCTCTAGGTAACTTATATATATTAATAATATATTAATAAAAAATATAAGAAAGTTCTTTTATATTTTTACTTTTCTATAAAGTAGGTAATAGGAAAACTTAATAAGTTAATTAACTATAATTATAATACTATTATAAAAGATTTTAATTAAGGGTTTTTTTTAATAAGGGTAACTTTATAATAAAGTCTATTATAATTTAATTTTAAGGTTATTATATTACTAAAAGTAGTTATAGTTATCTATAAGGTTTATATTTCTAAGCTTTTATTCTTAAGTAAAGATTATATTATTAAATAACCTTTTTTATTATTCCTTTTATTCTTATTATATTATATCTTTTTTATATTTATTTTAATATTTTTATAATACCTTAATAGCTATATAAGGGATATTTATATATATCTTATACTAGTTACTCCTTAAGCTTATTTAAAACAAATTATATATATAAGTTACTAAAGGTTATTTCTTATAGGTTATAAGGTCTTTTAGTTTCTACTTCTTTTAATTATTTTTTAAATTTTATATTTTTTTATATTTAAGTAATAGTTTTAACTAATTAGGTAAATTAATATTTTCCTTTTAAATTAAGGTTTAAAAGTTATTTCTTAGTTTTAATAGTTCTTATATTAAGATTAGGTTATTTATTAATAATATTTATATATTTATTATTTATACCTTTATAATATATAATTATAAAATTAAATTTATATAGGTATTTAGTATATTATAATTATTATTAGTTTAGCTTTTATATTATTATAAAATATATTATATTTTTATAATTAGTATATACTTTTATTAGGTATTTACTTTCTTTAAGGTAATATTTAAATTTCTTAAAGTAATTAATAATAGCTAGGAATTCTTATTATAATCCTTATAGTTATGTTATGTAAAACCTATAAATATTTCCCTAATTAATTAATAACTTATGCTTTCTCCTTATTTCTATTATAAGCTACTTAACAGGACTTATAATTAGACTTATAACTTATATATAAGTCCTGACTTACTATAGCAAGTTATTATAAGTATATAAAATATATTTATTAGCACTTTTATAGATTCTAGCTTATTAGCTATTAATATAACTTCTTTATATTAATTAAGCCTAATATATATTAAATCTATTATTAAGAGATATAATACTTTAATAATGCTTAGTATATGCCTTATACTATTTACTAAATAATAAACCTAATATAGCTTAATTTAATATAGTTAGACCTAATTATTATATATTAATAGCTTTTATTTAAATTATATTATATAAATACTAAGTAATATAAATATAATAGCTATACTAATTACTCCTATTTAGCAAAATGCTATTACTAATATTACCCTAACTTTAATTAATAATAACCTACCTACTAATTAAGATATAAGAAAGAATAATAATAACTTATTTAAAAGTAATAATAATTCTAATATTATTTAACTCTAATAGTAAATTACTAATATAACTATTAAAATAATAAAGCTTTATTAAATACTTATTAAAGTAAAAAACCTCTAAGCCTAGTAGGCTAATAATAACTAAAATAAACTTTAGGAAATATATAATCTTATTAATACTATTATTTATAATAAGGATACTAAAGAAATCCTTAAGCCTAACCTGCCTAAGATATTTAATAAAACCTTAAGTAAGCTCTTTATATTCCTTACCTAATATTAAGCCTTTATATCCTATTATCTAAATTAGTTTATAAAGGAGGCAGATAAAACTAAGTATATATTAGAATACCTTAGGGGTATTACTATATAATAGTTCTAGCTATTTCTTAAAGATTAAACTACTAAAAGAGACCTAAAAGCCCTTAAACCTTAAACTTATATATTATATATTAATTACTTAGCTTTTAAGAAAGCCTTATAATAAGTATTTAAAACTATTAATAAAAAAGGATAAGTTAAAAAAAAATTAAAATACTTAAATAAATTTAATTTATATTTAAGCTTAAAGTAAAATTTCTTTAATTAGTATTTAAATAACCTTAAAATTAAAATATATTTATATTATTCTTTTTTAATATACTTAAAAAACCAATATAAGCTAAACTATATAAAGAAAATAGACTTAAAAACTTAATAAACTATATTAACTAAGTAAATAGAATTAATAATAAGTAATTTGCCTAGAAAACTTAAAACTCTTAATATAATAAATAATAAGATAATAAACCTTATTATAATACTAATTAAGGATAGAAATATAATAATAATATAGCTTATAATACTAAAGTAAGATTAATAAAAATTAAAATAATTAAATAAGATAAATTTAAACTTACTTACTAAAACTATAATAAGAAAGAATATAAAGAATTAAAATATAAAAACCTTATTAAAACTAACTAAAAATATAAATTAATACCTAAAGAAAAGAAATATCTTAATATTATAAAAAAGAATAATAAACCTTAAATAGAAAAGACTTAAATATATTAAAGATATAAAAAACCTTAAATACGAAAAAAAAATAAAAAAAAATAAAAAAAATAAAAAAAATAAAAAAAAATAAAAAAAAGTTATAAAAATAAGTAAACTATTTAATAAAAAGAAAGCTTAAAATTAAGAATTAAATAATAAGAACTTATACCTATATAAAAAAAAAAAAAAAAAATATAATAAGATTATTATAATAATTAGAAAAGGGAAAGAAGTTAACCTTAACTTAAATAATAAACTAAGTATTAAGGAATTTAATTAAGGTATTAACTAAGTATTAATATAAACCTTTAATAAATTAAAAGCACTTCTTAAAATCTAAAATAAAATAATTATATATAACCCCTACTTAATAATAAATAATATTCCTATTAAAACTACCTTAAGATAACTTAATAAATATTATAAAGACCTAGGCTATACTAAAGTAATTAAGGTATAAAAGGAACTTAATATTAAGAAAATTAAATAAAAAGAGGAATAAATAGTTTAAAATACTAAAATTATACTATAATATAATAAACTTAAAAACTACTTTTAAAATAATAAATACTAAAAATATATAGAACTTATTAAAAAAAAAGTAATTATAAAATAAGATAATAATATCTATATCTAAGCCTATATAAAGAAGGTAATAAAAAATCTTATAACCTTAAAAGAATGTATTTAACTAAAGGGGGAATTATAAAGGTATTTATATTACCTAAACTATAATTAAATATTATAGGTATTATATATATAATATTACTATTTATAATATTAATAAGATAAAGTAATAAATAATTATTTCCTAATTTAAATTAAAAAATATTAAAAATAAAAACTATTCTTAATTATTAATATAATAAGATATTAAGTTATATAAAAATATAAAAGATCTTATATAGCTAGGCTTAAAGCTTATATAAAAATATATAAAAAATCCTTAATATATATCTAGAACTCTAAATATATTATATAATAAAGATAATAAGTATAGCATAAAGCTAATTTAAAAGAAAATAAAGCTATTAATAAAGGTATTATTAAAGTATATTAAAATATAACTTAATAAGAGGAAGAACTTTTTAAAGAAAAATCCTTAGAAAATATCTTTAAATAATTTA